ACCCCAGCACGACCCCACCCTAGCACGACCACACCCCAGTACGACCACACCCCAGCACGACCCCACCCCAGCACGATCACACCCCAGCACGACCCCACCCCAGCAAGACCACACCCCAGCACGACCGCACCCCAGCACGACCTTACCACAGCACGACCTCACCCCAGCACGACCACGCCCCAGCACGACCACGCCCCAGCACGACCACGCCCCAGCACGACCACGCCCCAGCACGACCACCCCCCAGCACGACCACCGCCCCAGCACGACCACCCCCCAGCACGACCACCCCCCAGCACGACCACACCCCAGCACGACCACTCCCCAGCACGACCACACCGCCTTGGTTGAGTGGTTGCCTGTCGTCGTGGAATGTTTCGTGGGGTGTCTCGTGGAATGTTTCGCGGGGTGTCTCGTGAAATGTTTCGTGAGGTGTCTCGTGGAATGTTTCGTGAGGTGTCTCGTGGGCTGTTTCGTGAGGTGTCTCGTGGGATGTTTCGTGAGATGTCGCCCAGTTGGGTATCGTGAAAACGTGACCATGCTGCACATGTCTTTATCCCTTTCCGGGTTCGTGGGTCCATCATGTTTTGAATCATTTTGGGGCATGTCTTGACTATTGCTATTCTTTATTCTTCGTCCACAATCCCCCTGTAGGGGAACATGCCCGACCTAAGGGTAGCGCCCGCTGGGGCCCGACATAATTGCAGGTGTTTGCGTTTGCGCGTGCATTCTCTGGCGGAGCTCGGCTCCCTGGCGCCGTCGGCCGAACGACCCGCGTCGCGGGACACTTTGGCAAGGCGGTTTTAGCCGCCACAAACATCCCTAGTTTACCCATCGGCCGTTGAAAGTAGGTATGATTGGATTCCCAGATTCCAATCTACTTTAAGCGCCTTCCTACTTCAGTGATCGAGTGGCTTAACCTTTTCCGTCCTCCCCGGGAGGCGGACCGAACCCAATCTACGTCTTCAACGCCTTCCTGCTTCATGCTTCTGCCTACTCCTTCGGACCGATGGGCAAGGCTGGCCGTGCAACTGTGCCAGTCGAAAGTGCAGTGCGCCACTCGCACGTTGACTCGTACTCCAAATCCCTTAAACGACCCCCGGGTCCGGTTTTTTAGGCGCCTTTTCCCGGAAAGGGCGTGGGCCCAGGGTTCTCTTTTAGTAGGTAAACCTGTCCCCCGGTGCCAACTTGAGGGAGGCCGGCGAATTTTTTCCCTGATAAATAACGAGGTCGAAGGAGGCCGGCGAATTAAAATTTGAGGATGTCTCGAGCGAAACGCTTGTTTTTCAGAATTTCTTGAGGATGTCTCGAGCGAACCGCTGGTTTTGCAGAGTTGAGGATGTCTCGAGCGAAACGCTTGCTCCGCAGAGTTTGCCGAGGATGTCTCGAGCGAAACGCTTGTTTTGCAGAGCCGACCGCGACGCGGAAAAACGCCCCGCGCGAAGGAATTTCGATGATGTCTCGACTAATTCGTTTGTTTTTGTGCGATTTCCTGGAATTTTGGCAGGATGTCTCGAGCGAAATGCACGACCACACCCTAGCACGACCATACCCCAGCACGACCACACCCCAGCACGACCAGACCCCAGCACGACCCCACCCCAGCACGACCCCACCCCAGCACGACCATACCCCAGCACGACCACACCCCAGCTCGACCCGACCCCAGCACGACCCTACCCCAGCAAGACCACACCCCAGCACGACCACACCCCAGCACGACCTCACCACAGCACGACCACACCCCAGCACGACCACGCCCCAGCACGACCACGCCCCAGCACGACCACGCCCCAGCACGACCACCCCCCAGCACGACAACCCCCGCAGCACGACCACCCCCAAGCACGACCACACCCCAGCACGACCACACCCCAGCACGACCACTCCCTAGCTCGGTCCACACCCCGCACGACCCACCCCAGCACGACCACTCCCCAGCACGACCACATCCAGCACGACCACACCCCAGGCACGACCCGATCGATAAATCACAGGGTGCGGGATAGCACCCTCAGACGAACCCCACCCAGCCACGACCCCACCCTAGCACGACCATACCCCAGCACGACAACACCCCAGCACGACCAGACCCCAGCACGACCCCACCCCAGCACGACCCCACCCCAGCACGACCATACCCCAGCACGACCACACCACAGCACGACCCGACCCCAGCACGACCCTACCCCAGCAAGACCACACCCCAGCACGACCACACCCCAGCACGACCTCACCACAGCACGACCACACCCCAGCACGACCACGCCCCAGCACGACCACGCCCCAGCACGACCACGCCCCAGCACGACCACGCCCCAGCACGACCACCCCCCAGCACGACCACCCCCAGCACGACCACCCCCCAGCACGACCACCCCCCAGCACGACCACACCCCAGCACGACCACTCCCCAGCACGACCACACCGCCTTGATTGAGTGGTTGCCTGTCGTCGTGGAATGTTTCGTGGGGTGTCTCGTGGAATGTTTCGCGGGGTGTCTCGTGAAATGTTTCGTGAGGTGTCTCGTGGAATGTTTCGTGAGGTGTCTCGTGGCTGTTTCGTGAGGTGTCTCGTGGGATGTTTCGTGAGGTGTTGCCCAGTTGGGTATCATGAAAACGTGTCCATGCTCCACATGTCTATATCCCTTTCCGGGTTCGTGGGTCCATCATGTTTTGTAACTGGGGGGGTTCGGTTTCCTAGGGCGCTTTCTTTGGATTGGAGCTTAGGGGGTCCGGTTTATGAAGGCGCCCCGTCGCAGAGGCGGGTCCGGAATGTTCGGTCGCATCTGGAGGGGGGCCCGGTCTTTTAGGGGGGGCCGATGAAGCAGGGATTCGGGGAGTATGGCCCACGGCAGGCCAGCCGGGGCACCCGCACGGCCACGCCGCAGCACCTCTTGCGGCCTGGGGCCCGCGGGACAGGGGCCCCACCGCCCGAGGAAACAGCCGAGGACCTGCGGAGGGCCTCTTCGGGCCCTGCGCAGGTCCTCCCCGGGGTCCGCTTCGACCCCAATCGATCCGATCCGCTGTCGGTTTCGGCTTCTTCGGCCCGCTCCATCGGACTCGGTGCGGGCATTCCGACGGCCCGATGCGGCCTGCTTCGACCCCATCTGTCCGATTCGACCTTGATTTCGGCCCGCTTCGTCCGGTTCGGTTCTGGTATATCCCGACGATCCCATGCGGCCCATTTCGATCCCATCGATCCGATTCGATGTTGATTTCAGCCCGCTCCCTCTGCTTCCGTTCTGGTATTCCGACGACCCGATGCGGCCCACTTCGGTCCCACCGATGCGATCCGATGTTGACTTCGGGCCGCTCCATCCGTTTCGGTGCTGGTGTTCTGACGACCCGATGCGGCCCGATGCTTGCACAGCGTTGTTGTGCATCTTGCCGTGGCCGACCCGATCCGATTCCGACTCCGTGCTGGTGCAGCCCGATCCGACGCGCACAGTCCGATTCGATCCGAGTTCCCGATTCTGCACTGATGGAGCTTGATTTCCTCCCTCCTTTCCTCCTCCTCGCCCTTCTTGGTGCCTGCAAAGTCTGGCCCTCTTGTGTTCTCACCACGTTGAATGCCTGTCGGTCGGCGGCGCGCCGAGGGGGGAAGTGGCAGTGGGGCAGGCTGGAGCGCGTCTCCGGAGCCCTCCAGTCTTCTGAGAAGCCCCCTTGCGGCCCTGGAGGAGGCTCGGCAAGCTCCCTGGAGACCCGATCCTATTCCGACTCCGTGCCGATGCAGCCCGATCTGACGCACATTCCGATTCGATGCGGCTTCCCGATCCGATCCCTTCCCTCGCCCTTCTTGTGGATGGATCTCTCGAGCTCTCCGCCGCCTCTGGCGGCGTGCGTTGCGAGCAGGAACACAGCAAAGCCACAGGGAAGCGCGGGATTGACAGTGCAGCTCCGCACACGTGACAAATGTCAACGAGCAAGAGCACAGTAAAGCCCCAGGAGAGCGAGGCATTGACAGTGTAGCTCAACATTGACACGGTGGTGGCCGGTGGTGCCTGTAACGTCTGGCCTTCCGCGCCTTCCCTGTCATGGGCGCGCCGCCTAGCCTGGAGGGCAGACCCGCTGCCAGGCTTAAGTCGGGCATGTCCCTCTACAGGAGGAACGTCCAAAACGGTAATTATTTAAAGACAATAATTTTAATTTAAGACAAATAGTCAGGGGGGCGGGGCGATTTTTCCGGGGGAAAAGGGCAACAAAGGCCCAGGGTTTCTCTATTAGTATGTAAACATGTCCCCGGTGCCCAACTTGAAGGAGGCCGGCGAAAAACGAAAACCCGAAAATCGAAACCCGCGCGACGAAAACGATAAAAAGAACGAACGAAATTCAGAACGACCGGCGAGTTCTGCCCCCCCTTTTTCGCTGCCCCCATACTTGAAGGAGGCCGTGCCCGCCGAACGAAATTTTTCCATGATAAATTTCGAGGTCGGATTCTCGAAGTGTGGCCCGGCCGAAAAATTATTTTTGAGGATGTCTCGAGCGAAACGCTTGTTTTTCAGAATTTGTTGTGGATGTCTCGAGCGAGACGCTGGTTTTGCAGAGTTGGGGATGTCTCGAGCGAAACGCTTGGTTTCAGAATTTGTTGAGGATGTCTCGAGCGACACGCTGGTTTTGCAGAGCCGACCGCGACACGGAAAAGCGCCCCTCGCGCAGGAATTCTGAGGATGTCTCGCGCGTGCCGCGTCCCGCGCGCGGGTATTTGGATTTCTTTGGATTTTGACCGGATGTCTCGAGCGAAACGCTTGTTTTTCATAATTTGTTGAGGATGTCTCGAGCGATCACAGGGTGCGGGCCACCTCAGCACGACCACATCCCAGCACGACCACACCCCAGCACGACCACGCCCCAGCACGACCACGCCCCAGCACGACCACACCCCAGCACGACCACACCCCAGCACGACCACACCCCAGCACGACCACACCCCAACACGACCACACCCCAGCACGACCCGATCGATAAATCACAGGGTGCGGACCACCCCAGCACGACCACACCCCAGCACGACCCCACCCCAGCACGACCCCACCCCAGGACGACCACGCCCCAGCACGACCACACCCCAGCACGACCACACCCCAGCACGACCACACCCCAGCACGACCCCACCCCAGCACGACCCCACCCTAGCACGACCACACCCCAGCACGACCACACCCCAGCACGACCACACCCCAGCACGACCCCACCCCAGCACGACCCCACCACAACACGACCACCCCCCAGCACGACCACACCCCAGCACGACCCCACCCCAGCACGACCCCACCCCAGCAAGACCACACCCCAGCACGACCACACCCCAGCACGACCACACCCCAGCACGACCACACCCCAGCACGACCACGCCCCAGCACGACCACGCCCCAGCACGACCACGCCCCAGCACGACCACCCCCAGCACGACCACCCCCCAGCACGACCACCCCCCAGCACGACCACCCCCCAGCACGACCACACCCCAGCACGACCACTCCCCAGCACGACCACACCCCAGCACGACCACACCCCAGCACGACCACACCCAGTCGCACCCCCGTGGAATGTTTCGTGGGGTGTCTGGTTGAGTGGTTGCCTGTTCGTGGGGTGTCTCGTGGAATGTTTCACGGGGTGTCTCGTGGAATGTTTCGTGAGGTGTCTCGTGGGTTGTTTCGTGAGGTGTCTCCTGGGATGTTTCGCGGGGTGTCTCGTGGGATGTTTCGTGAGGTGTCGCCCAGTTGGATATCGTGAAAACGTGACCATGCTGCACATGTCTATATCCCTTTCCGGGTTCGTGGGTCCATCATACGTTCTGAGTCTATTTCCTATTCTTCCTCCAACATCCGCCTGTAGCCGGACATGCCCGACCTACGTCTCGCCTTCTGCGCCTTCCCTGTCATGGGCGCGCCGCCGAGCCCGGGGGGGGGGCAGACACGCTGCCAGTCCGGAGGGGATGCCGGGAGAGGTCCGCGGGCGCGCCGCCGTCCCGCCCTGCCCCGGGCGCGCTTCCTGCCAGGGAGGCGCACGGCTCGGACATCAAGATCCTCCTCCTCCTCCTCCTCCTCCTCCTCCTCCTCCTCCGCCTCACCACCCTCCTCCCTCCTCCTCCTCCCTCCTCCTCCCTCCTCTCTCCATCCTCTCCGGAGTTTGCTGCTGCGACGGCCGGTCGCGCTCGTGAGCAGCCGAGCCCGGAGCAGATGGCTGGCGCCCGGAGCAATGTAGTTTTCCGTGAGCGTATGATTTTGTTGCCCTCCAGCCGCCCGCCCGTTCAAAGATTCGGCTCGCAGTGGAAATGGGTCCGTGCGCAGCGAATCCCAGTAGTTTCACCTCCTATTGTTCGCTGCGAGCCCACATCATCAGCTGCTCGCATTGCTGCCATAGTGAATGATGATCTGTTTGCTCGGCACGTGCGTAGGTGGGTGCAGCCGGGGCCTCTGCCCACTACCCCGCCACCCACGCGCACCCAGGCCGATCCTGATGCGGTTCTGGCTGCGAGTATCGCGGCCTCCCGGGAATCGCAAGACTGGTCTGTCCGGAGCCCCCTCCTTAGGAGAAGGAGGCTCGACTGATCAGCAGATGGCCCTGCCACGTTTCTCCCCCTCGGCATAGCGCGATGACAATCGCGTCGGTGCCTCGCGTGGGTGCGACGATAACTACCCTTCTTCACCCACTGTACTGCCTAGGAGATGTGTTCCTAGCCTTTCCTCCTTCCTAGCTTTGCAGGATGTAGTCGTGAGCATGCAGCATGTGTGTCCCAGACGCCGTGTTGCCCACTCCTTCCCTGTCCTGATCAGCGAGTGTCTCGCGTGGTCGACGTGTTGTGCTGTCACACACGTCCATGATAGATGGGCGGAGGGATTTGAGGGTGGTGTTCAGGTCTGTTGGTCGGGACGCGGGTTGCACTGAGGCGTTACTGCAGGCACGGGCCGTAGGTCGGGCATGCGAATATCGTGCAATCTCGCTGGCCCCTGCCCTGGACCAGACCACTTATCTGGCTTTCGGCCGTCCGCAGGCCATCTCACCTGCTCCCCTCTTTGATTTGCCTCCTCTCGCCTCTTCCCTCCTGTTGCGGCGTTGTGATGCGCCTTGAGCGCCTTCCGACGAGAAGGGGGGGGGGATTTGGATAAGTGGGGGGATCGGTGCGGGAATGGTGTTGGCATTCCTGGATACGTAGTCGTCACTCTTTGGCTACCACGTGCAGAAGATGGCGGCTGCCAGTCAGATGTGTCCCAGCCTTGACCCCGCTTGTTTTCAGCTGCTCCGAGATTTGGAGGTTTAGGATATGTGTCCCAGTCTCACTTTCTCTTCCTGGTTTCATCTACCATCATCCGTTCGGTGCCTGCTTACGGAAATTGCGCAGCCAGTATTGACAAGGGACACAGCGTTCCAGAGGTGATCGGTCTGCGTCCCAGCCTCTTCCCTTCCGCTCGTTGCTGCCATCCCTCCGAGGCTGGAGGTTTGAGATGTGCGTCCCAGTCCCATTCTTCCTTCTCGGGCTTATCTTTATTTAGTTTCCCTCCCTTCCTCCCTCCCCATCCCCCTCCCGAGTGGCCAAGAGCCACGACGCGGTCGTCGTTTCTTTGTTCGACCCGATGCCGGCCACTTGATTTGAGAGAGGAGTGATTCGGGGGGGACGCTGACTGAATGGGACTGAGGGTGAGTTTAGGTCTGTTGGTGGGGACGAGGGTTGCACTGCGGCGTTGGTGCAGGCACGGGCCGCAGGTCGAGCGTGCGAATATCGTGCACACCCGCAGGCCCCTGCCTTGCGCCAGCCCGGTAAGGTGGCTTTCGGCCCTTCGCAGGCCATCTCACCAGCTCCCCTCTTTGATATGCCTCCTCTTGCCTCCTCCCTCCTCCTGCGGGGTTGTGATGCGCCCTGAGCGCCTTCAGACGATGAGGGAGGGGAGATTCACCAAACCTTGGTGCTGCATGTGCGCACTGTTGCAGCAGCTAGTGAGTGCCGCACTAAGCTGACCATCTCATCGGCGAATCAGAGCGCAATCCAAACAACAAAACATCCCTCCTCCTCCTCCTCCTCCTCCTCCTCCTCCTCCTCCCCCTCCCCCTCCCCCCCTCCCCCTCCCCCTCCCCCTCCTCCTCCTCCTCCTCCTCCTCCTCCTCCTCCTCCTCCTCCTCCTCTCCTCCTCCTCCTCCTCCTCCTCCTCCTCCCCCTCCTCCTCCTCCTCCTCCTCCTCCTCCTCCTCCTCCTCTCCTCCTCCTCCTCCCTCCTCCTCCTCCTCCTCCTCCTCCCTCCTCCTCCTCCTCCTCCTCCTCCTCCTCCTCCTCCTCCTTCCTCCTTCCTCCTTCCTCCTTCCTCTTCCTCCTTCCTCCTTCCTCCTTCCTCCTTCCTCCTTCCTCCTTCCTCCTTCCTCCTTCCTCCTCTTCCCTCCTGCTCCTGATCTCGTACACAGTCGGACCGAGGTATACTGTTGAGATCGTTTCGGCACCCTGCTGCTCTTCGTGCTTGCAGGATGTTTTTGTGCACCCTGGGGGGGGGGGGGCCCAGGATGTTCGGTGCGTTTTGGCCGGCGGAGGACCTCGCGTTCTTGAAACATGTTCTTCTGGCCCAAGTCCGGCTGTGGCCAGCGCGCGAGGGTCGAGAGCAGCCCCTGCAGCCTTGTAGGGGTGCCCGTGGGCTCTTCGTGCTCGGGCCCTCCTGGAGCACTCTTTGCCCCGGGTCGCTCCACGGGGGCCTGGGGCGTCGGCGACGGGGCCCATGTGCTTTCGGTGGCTCCGAGATGGGGTTTCCTGGGGGATGGGGTCCTAACTATGGACGAGGTGCGTTAGCAGATGTAGATCCACACTTGGGTGCCTCAGGACCCCTTGTACCCTCGAATGCTCGTCAGCTTGGCCGGCGGGGGGTCTGTCGTGCGTTGTTCTTCCCCAGGCCCGGCCAAGTGTGTGCCTGCTGTGGCGGTCGCGAGGGCCGCAGGGGCGCGCCGCGGGGGCCCCCCCGCCCCGGTGTTTCTTGACCGGCCGCCCGCGGGCGCCTCGGCACTGAATAGGGGCGCGCCGCTGCGCGGCCGCACCCTCCCGCTGGCGCCTCGGCATAGGGGCGCGCCGCTGCGCGGGCGCACCCTCCGCGGCCGCCGCCCCCCGCCGCTGGCGCAGAAGCGGCCCCTGGCAGGCCGCTCTGTGGGCGCTGCCGCGGCTCCCGGGTGCCACGGCGCCCGCTGCCGCGCAGCGGCCTCTCGCGCGAGGCACATGCGCTGCGGCGCCTGCGGCGCCTGCGGCGCCGCCGCGGGCGATCGCCGGCGGGCCCGCCCGGGGCCGCCGCTTTTTGCCGGCCGAGGGGGGGCGGGCACGCAGCCCGGGCCGGCGGAGGCGGAGCGCGCAGGTGGACCTCCGGGGCGTGGCAGGGGAGAGCTCCGCGGGCGGCGCGCTCTCTCGCGGGCAGCGGGGGGAGAGGGGCGGTGCACGCGCAGAGCGGGGGGCGGGGTCGCAGGCGACGTTTCCCCCCAAAGTCGTAAGTCGGGCCTGTCCTTCTACCAGGGGGGAGTGTTCAAAAGTAGCGCGAACATAATCAGGGGACGATTGTTCTGACTATTTCTGATCAGCCTTGGGTATTCTTTGAGTACTGTTAATTGTTCGTTCAAGATCCGCCTGTAGGGGGCCATGCCCGACCTAACCCAAGTCCCTGGGCTCCGCCCGAGGAGTTGGGCCGCTCAGAAGGGGGCGGGGGGGCTCTGAGGTCCTCACCCCAGTTGGACCAGTCAGGCGCACCGCTCTCGAGGATGGACGCCCCCGCATCGTATAATCCCAGGGCTGGGCCCAAAATTCCTGGTCGATTCGAGAACCGCCCAAAGCCTGGGATGGGGGTCGGCATATCCCCTGGTATGGGGGAGGGGGGATGCTTCGTAGAAGCACGCCTGCTTCATCAGAACCAGTGGCCACATGTGAGCCCTACCCCCCACCCCCCCACGATGTCTGAGGGGGCGTGGGGGTTCACTTCGTTCGGGAGCTCCAGAGCGGAGTGAAACCCCATCCCCCCTTTCGAAATCGTGGAGGGGGGGGGGGCAACCAGGGTTCACATGTGGCCACATACTGAAGGCGCGGGCCTTCTCTATAGATGGGAGGCCCGCGTCTTCTGAGAGGCAGCTTCCTGAGAAGCCCTTTCCCCCCTCCCCCATACCTCCCTCTGCGCCGCCGCCAAAGAAGGGCAGTATCTTCCTACGGCCGCCGGCCCGGAGAGGCTCCTGCGGACGGCCCTGTCAGCGGCTCAAGGCTTCGAAGTAGAACAACAAACGACCGGGCGTCCTGTGGCGACGGGGGGTCTGCACTCACGTTGGGGAGCAGGCCGCTTCGAAATCCTGCTCCTCCCTTCACAGTCCTCTCACCCTCCCTCCTCAAGACCCTCCCCCTCAATCCTCACATCCTCCCTCAGGCCTCCTCAAAAATCTTTCTCCTCCTCCTCCCCCTGCATCCCCGCGATGCTTCCGAGGTCTGGCCCGGTGGGGCCATACCACCCAGTCGCGCCGTTCCGGCACGCGAGCGGGACGCCTTCGGGGGCGCACCGCGGCGTCACAGTGGCGCCGCCGCGAGCGCAGTGGGGTCGGCTACGCGGCTGGAGGATCGAGGATCGAGGTTCGAGGGCCAAGGTTTTCTAACGTTTTTGCTCTTTCTTGGGCCTCCTCGTCGCCACGGCTGGATTCGCCCTGGAATTCTGGCCATGACGCACCCTGGGAGAGGTCGGGGGGCGGATTTTGGGCCTGGGGTCCCAGACTGGCCCAGGCCTCCACCGTCCTGAACAGAGTCAGGGCGGAGGTTCCTCGCCGCTTTTTCAGCGTCTGAGACTGGAGGCGTCTGAGGAGGAGGGAGGAGGAGGAGGAGGAGGAGGAGGAGGGAGGAGGAGCAGGAGGAGGAGAGGAGGAGGAGAGGAGGAGGAGAGGAGAGGGTAGGAGTAGGAGGAGAAGTAGTAGGAGGAGGAGGAGGGGGGGCCTGGCCGGGCCCCCGAGGCCGTCGAGCACGATGCGGGATGAAAAAAGCAGGCCCTGGGGGAAGGGTCGGGTCTTTGGTGCGCGGCGTTCGGGTCCCCCTCCCCCGCCCCCTCCCCCTCCCCCTCCCCCTCCCCCTCCTCCTCCCCCTCCTCCTCCTCCCCCCTCCTCCTCCTCTCCTCCTCCCCTCCTCCTCCTCCTCCTCCTCCTCCTCTCCTCCTCGGGTCGCGGGGGGGGGGGGGGGGGGGGCCCAAACCCAAGCAATTGCTGGCCGCTACCGTTGCATCGCGCGCCAGGGATCGGCGGGCCGCGCGCCAAAAGGTCCCGCTTGCCCAGGGGCTGCTCCTGCGCGCAGCCGAGAGGATGATGATGATGATGATGATGATGATGATGATGATGATGATGATGATGATGATGATGATGATGATGATGATGATGATGATGATGATGATGATGATGATGATGAGAGGAGGAGGAGGAGGATGAGGAGGAGGAGGAGGAGGAGGAAAGAAGAAGAAGAAGAGGAGGAGGAAGAAGAGAAGGAGGAGGAGGAAGAGGAGGAGGAGGAGGAGGAGGAGGAAGAGGAGGAGGGGCAGCATCAGCAGGAGGACGACGAGGGTGTGCGTCGTCTTCTGTGGTCCTTGGCCAAGGAGGGCGGCAGTGACGGACGGCGCGGGGGCGACACTGAGGCGACAGGACATCTGAGATCGAGGCCATGTATATGTGTTGAGGAGGAGCAGGAGGGGGTCGGGGGTTTGGGGTTTTCATGAAGGTGATTGGGGAGGAGGGTGTTCGGCTTGGGCGCCTCATCGTCTCTGTGAATTCTAGACGCTTCGCGTAACCCCACCAGCCCCATCCAGAAACGATGCCCAGAGGAAGTGCCTCGATCAGGGAAGTGGGCAGCACACAGAGGACGGGTCCCCCAGTGGAGGCCTCTTGGAGCGTATTGGGGGCCTCTTGGCGGTCCCGGACGCTTCTTAGAGCGTCTTGGGTGCCTCGGAGAGCTTCTTGGAGCCTCTTGGGGGTCTCTTGGGGGCCTCGTGGAGGCCTCTGGGGCGCCTGTTGGGGCCTCCTGGGGCCTCGTGGGCGCCTCTTGGGGCCCTCTTGAAGCACTCTTGGGAGCCTTGGGAGCGCTCTTGGGACCCTCTTGGGCCATCTTGGAATCATCTTGAAGCCTCGGA